TGGACAACTCAACAACAGATTGAGGCGTTCCCGACGTTCGGCTAAAGCATTAAAAATCCATCTTCGTGTGTTTTCACATCTAAAAAACACACAAAGATTTGTGTGATTTTTTTCTAAATCACAAACTGTGATAATGATGAAGAATCTTCTATGAATTGTTATAATAATTCAGTTCAAGTTTGACCAGTCAGTCAGGTATTGAGGTAAAGGTGACTCCCTAAGAAAAACTGTGAGATAGTATTTATATTGAAGCTCCAAATTAGACGATGCACATCAGATACCAGCTTTAACTAACCATGGAAAATGTTTATGCTTATGCACAATTTCAGCATGATGTTATGCACATGTTACTGTCTCCAAGTGTTAGAGACACTTGGAGACAGTATAGGAAATCTACAGAAGGACAGAAAACTTTATTGGAGCACCCCCAAGGCTATGCCACCCTAGGCAAAGAGCCCATATCAAAAGCTGCCACTGTCAATTTCACATACAAACACAAAACTACACAAATAAAAAGGAAATGTGAACTTGATTGCAAGGAATTCGTGAAATGTGGAGCTCTTTTATATATTTTTATTTCATTAAGAAAATGCGACAAAATGACACTCGGAGCTTTCCACGAGTTCGTATCTTTAATGACGGACGGACTTTTGAGTGCTGTGAAAAGTACCAGTGAATGTTCAGATCGTTTCCAAGTCGACAAGATTAAGCCTGTGTCTCTTCAGCCACATCCTGACAGCCGGAGTGCAGGAAGCGCCGGGACCGCTCTGGTTATGTCCAGGATGGATCTGCAGGAGTGCACGGCTCCAGCTTGAGGAAGACATGGTGGTGGTGGTGGTGGTGGTGGCAGGGCCTGGAGGGCAGGATGTCCTGTTTGGCTGCTCAGCTTCACAAAAGGAGCAGAGACACAGGCTGGATCTCTGATTCTCTCAAGGAGAGGAAAAAAAAAACCTGTAGCTTATAGCTGAACACATTTAGCTTCTAATTCAACAAACTCAGGATGTTCGTATAGAAATTCATATCAAATTCAGATAAGTATGTTCAACTGGTCCGATGATCATGAGTTCTTCAACAAAAAAATTAACTTTTTTGATAACAGGAAAAGTGTAAAGCAGAATATTAGAGCATCGCTGATAGTGAGTTGAATTCCCAAATGAATTGCAGCCAGTTGTTAGCAGCTTAGAAGTTTATCCCCCATTAACGTAACTATTGGCAAGGTATTACAGATGATGTATTTCTGCATCAGTTGCCACGCTGATTTACAGAACAGGTAAAGGCAAGAACGAAGATATTAGAGAATAAACCTCAAAGCAAGTCCTGTTTGTAGTCTCCCATTAGCCTGGGTTTCGCCTTCCTCGAGATTCTAATCTCTGTTCACAGCTTCGTTTGGGATTTCTCCCGCAGACTTCGATTTCTGCAGCAGAACTTCAGCCCGGCCAATCAGCGAGCAGAAAGAGAAGTTGTAAACTTTTAAAAAGCTTTAAATGTGAAACTTTCAACTGAATCTACACCTCCTCCATCAGGCAGTGGTTTCTCAAAGCTGAGGCTCCAGACTCTCTGAACGAAGTGACGCGTAGAACAAACGTATGAATAAGAGCAATTCTTGAACGAAATATGGCAGAGGCAGGTTTATGCTCTGGGATGTTTTTCTAAAGAAACCAAAAGACTTTGAGACGTGGATGTTCACCTTCCAGCAATATGACAACGATGCTAAACATGCAATCCAATCTAAATCTAAATTAGCAAATGATGCCCAGAATTGCATTCTCTGTCTTAAGTGAGGTGAACTGGATTACTATGTTGCTTTTGTGCAGCACAATCAGACTAAAAAAATAAAGATATCGCCAGTCAGCAAACACATATTTTCACCTTGAAGTGCAGCAGAGCCACACTGCAATCTGTCCGTCCCGCACATTTTGCATATTTTACCTTTTCCAGATTTATTGCGGGGTTACACTTGCCCTCCTGTTCATGCCCCAACCAGGGTCACAGCTACTGCCCTTTAGTAAAATCTGTCAGGTCCTCTCTGACGCAGATCCTTTTCCTGTCAGGGTGAGATTTTTATTGTTCCAAGGGTGCAGCCTGCCAAATCTCGCTCCTCCAGTCTTTTCCTGTTTCCCCCAAAAGAGGAAGCGCCGCTCGGCTTCGGCTCGTTTCCATCCTGCATCTTCTCTGGGACAAATCTGGAATGCTTGGAGCTGCAGAACGTAACTTGTTGCGTGGCCAAGTCTTGATTTCAAAGAATGAAAAGAGTTCTTTAAAGAAACACACCCTTCCCACTTTTGGTCTTTGTTACACAAGCTTTTGCATTAAAAAAAAAAAATGGATGTAAAGAGGAGCGTACTCTGAAAAACCCCCATGATGGTTCACATCCTCCAGTCTAACATGTCCCATCTGAGCTGTAACCCTGGAAGGTGTGTGCTCACCTGCATCCCTGAAGTAGAAAGTTCCCATGGTGCCTCAGCACGTAGGCTCTTTGTTATCGCTCAGAAAATAGCTCTTTGTGCGCAGCGAGTGCCAGATCGAGCATTCAGTCATGGTAGGCCCACTAATAAAAGACCAAACACTGGCCAACCGTCAGCAGTAAAACTAAGTTTAGAACAAAAAAAAATATACGAGTCATTATTTTAGTCGTTTATAAACAACAATCCAGGTAAATAGGCAGTTCAAGTTATTAAATAAACAACTTTATTTATCCCAAAAAGGGGAACTCAGTGTGCAGAGCAACGTAACGAAATAAGACAGAAGAGAAGAAGAAAATATGTAGAAACAAAACCTGAAGATCTGAAGAAAATGTAAAGGAAAAAAAGAGAAAAGAATAGAGAAATATAATAGAAAAAATTAAAAAGTACAAGAAAAAGGGAAAATATGAGGAAAAAATGCAGAAAAATTAAAAGGTAGGAAAAAAGAAGAAAGAGAAAATACAAGTAAAAACTGAAAGTGTAAAGAAAAACAATATAAGAATGGAGAAATATAACAAAAAAACTGAAAAAAGAAATTAAAGGCAAAATATATGAGGAAAACAAGAAAATACAGGAAAACTAAAATAAAAAAGGAAAATACAAAAATAAAAAAAGAAAAAAACTAGTTGCCAGATTGCAGATGCTGCGAAGAGTCCTGGATGATGCCATACTTATAAAAGTTGTTTCAAGATCAATTCACCAAACAGTCAGAGTGACAAACGCGTCCTTGTTGTCTGACATCTCTCAGTCTGGGTGAAGGCAGAGGAGGAGCGGCATTTGTCTCTATTCACACACTTTGACAGCTGCACCCCAAAACAGGGCCTGTCTGAATGCAGCTCTGGGACTGCAAGAAAGGCCTGCATAAGACAAACAGAACAGCTCCAAAAACTAACCAGAAATCCTGCAGTAATTGTCTTTCAGATTCCATTAAATCCTTTAAAGGTCATTTGTTTTTACAAAACTTATTTCAACTTTTCTTAAGAAAGGCTTCCCAACGGCATGATACTGCCCTTTCCATGTTTCTATGTGTGGACAATCAGTTTAAAATTATTATTATTATTATTTTTTACCTTCCTCTTACCTAAACAAACCCTATCCATGATCTCCACAAAGCATCTGAAAATAAATCACACACATCTGGATTCCAAACATCTAAATGTGTTTGGTTGCGATGTTTCTTTTTAGTTAGGGGTATTAGAGTACAGGGGTCGCAATCTGCACACAATATTTTTCAGATCAAAACATTTTAGGCAGGAACCGTCTATTGTTTTCTTTCAAGTCGACAACGTTTGTGCTGCTTTGTGTTGATCTTCTTTCATATTTAAACCAGACTAATTAAACTATGTAGATGTTTGGTGTCATAAAGTGACAAAATGTGAAAACACCGACTCTGACAGACTCTTCCAATGGGACGCAAAGTTTAATTAATGTGTTTGATCGTCTCCAGTTCAAGGAAACAATTCACCTGGTGTCACAGAATGGATGCTTGTTCACACATGATTTTTTTTTTTTGTCTTTTTGGCGTTTTTTATTTGCATATTAACAAATTGTCTTGGTTTCATTTTAAGCCATTTTGCAGAAACTTGTAGTTCTGATTTCTGAATTTGTGGATATTTTTTCACGCTCCAACCACGATCAGTCCACCCCCAGAAACGAAGAAAGAAAAATGCTAATCTCTAATAGCTCTACACTTTTTTTTTTCTTTTTTGTCATAGTGATTTCAATTAAAATCATCCATCTACAGCGGCTTGTTCCCATAATTCTTTCAGCATTAAGAATTATGGGAACATAATTCCCATAATTCTTTGAGCACCAGATAATCAAAACCTCTGACTGGACCAGTTTATTTGACTTTTTTTTCTTTTTCTTGCATGAAATCCTGAAACAACTCTTGGTCTTCCTGAATTCACCCCAGCCTTTACCGTTACTCCAGCTTCCATTCCTTAATTGCAACACAAACAGAGGAAACGGGCTCCTGAAAGTCTTTCGCAGTTTCCATATGGCTTCATCCTGCTGTGTTGGGGGCACCGGTTATTTTAATCTTCATCCAGGGAGAGGCCGCTTCTTAGAGGAACAGAGGGTCGTTTTTGTTTTCCTTCTTTTTGTTCTGACGAGTCGGAGAACCAAATTAGAATTTTTTTTTTTCTTTAATTTTATTTTCTGGGCCATACCTTATGAAACACTGACAAATCCAAGTCACGTCACGTAAACATGAGCCTATGTGAGCTACCCGGCCTTCGGTGGGGTTGCACATAGTGACCTGGTTCAATAAATCGCTACGAGCAACGGCTGCTTTCTGCTGAGCTGCCAAGGCAGCACAAGGGCAAGAGGTGAGGAGGCTGAGGGCACGTTGCCCCCTTAAAGATTGCAGCGCTCCACAATGGGAGTCCGAAAAGTGCTTCAAAATCAGATTCCAGAAGAGTGTTTGTGCAGGAGAAGGCTTTTATCAGCGGCAAACACTCACAGGAAGTCCGGTTTGGGGATTGTCCGTCCAATTCCTGCGTTCCACAGGAAGCTCAGCATAAAAAGCAACTGAAACACGCCCAAAGACATTTCATTTGTCGCCAGTCGGCTCGCAGGGAGCACCTCAAATTGGTCGCAGGGGTGGGTTTAAGAAAGAAAAAAAAAAAAAAAAGAATCTGCATTTTCAAGAGCCCAACGAAAGTCAAGCCTTAAAAAGAAACTGGGAGCATGGAGAGGTCCTCTGAGCCAGGGGTCCGGGGGCTCGCGCCCGGGGCCGCCAGTCAGCCTGCGCGCGCACACACACCCGGTGAACGCATACTGCCTGGGTAAGATCAGCACACAGCTCACACATCTGCATTTTAACAACGTTCTTTCTGCATCAGTCTGTCGTGGAAGTTCATTTTCAAAAGTATTACATGGGTTTTGTTTTCACAATGTGAAAAGTAACTCTGATTTACACTAAAAAGAAGTCAGATTTAGGATAATCTGGCCATCTTTTTTTTTCCCACCTCCAGGTATATACATCAGGCTGCAGTGCAACTATGCAAAAAACAATATTGCGTATTAAAATAATAAATGGATATGTAGGGATTATAATGTGGCGGTGCAATAAATAATTGGTCATAATTCAAATCAAATACTAAAGAATCAGATATTTTTTCCCGTTCATTGAATGCATCAAAGCTGAAACAAATAAAGCATCTTAAAGCCTATAAAGGCATCTGCAAACATCATGTGTTTTCATGCACTTTTTTGAGTTCAATAAAAAGCAGATAAAGGCATTAATGGAAATAATCTTGCAGTTCCTTCGATAGAAACTATAACTTCTATATGGTCTTATAACATATATGGTCTTAGATGTAAATATATGATCCAACACCAAAAGTGTCTTAGTCCGATAAGGTGATGACAAAAACATTTATTTGTAAATGCGTAGTTAATAATAACTATTCATACTTGTAATATTTTGAACAAATTTTTTAAAATTTACTTAACAAATAAACAAGCCTTCAAGCCGCCAAAGGCTTTATGAAATACCTAAAATAAATCAAACTTGAATGCATCAAACATAAAAAATAAATAAATAAATAACTCAAAGTTTATTATTTCTGCAACTAGATCCTAAAAATGTTGGCCATGTCCACTGACTCCTGGGTGAGGCTGAGAGTTAAAATAACACAGGACACTGGGATATTTTGATGAAATAAATAATGATACAAGGGAAACATATGGGAGATTAAAACATAACAAATTATGACTTGAAAAGCCATAAGGGCTTATTTTGTATTAGGTGTGGCATTCCAATTATTAAACTAGCTAAGGGAACAGAACAGTAAAAAGTATTTTAAGATGCACATATCAAAAAATTGTCTGACCATTGTCTGTTTTTATGAATTTATTTAGCTTATCTCTTTTATTATTTATTTTAGGAGGTTAAAAAGACCTAACAATGAATAAAAATAACTTTATTTCGCAATTAAGACAAACAAATGAAAAGATCTTTGATCATTTGGTCAATATTACGTCACTCAGTCAATTAAGTCTTAGCCTAAAAGAAATGGACTCAATCTTCTCTACTAACTTTGTTCGACCAGCTGCTGTCACCGGGGCGTCAGCTTGTTTAGTTTATCGGTGGGTTCTGAACGAAAAGAGTGAAAGGGGGGGGGGAAAAAAGTTAGCATAGCGTGTAGAGTGACGTAACCGCGGGTCCCCTCCAAATCGCAGCGGGACACCCAGCTGGAGGAGTGGGAGGAGGTCCTTCCATCACCCCCCATGCGCTCTGTCTGACAGTCTGAGCTCCAGGAGAAACCTGACTGCTGGCGGAGTGTTATCCCTGGACTTTTACCTGAACAAGTAGAGCGGTTTTACAGAAGCTAGTTGGTTTTCAGTCGTCGTCACTGAAGGACTTGTTCTTACTGGACTGACTGTGGGAAGGCTGATTGTTTTGCTGAACGGTTTGTAGTTGATTTGTTTCCCTATCCGTGCACGCGCTCCGACGGTACCGACTCCTTAGTCTGTGCGTGTTCGTCCGCAGCATCTGCGTTTTGCCTAAAGGGACTTACTCCCTTTCTCTGTCCGTTCCGTTTTATTTCTAAGAGTCTTTAGCGTCACTTCAAGGTGTGGGTTAATGTTACGGAGAAGCTTAGAAGTGATGGACGTGGGTCTTAGCGCTCGTATCTTAACATTGATGCTGTGAAACAGCACCACCCGGTGGCAGATGTGAACAATACAACCGAATCGCTTGGAGTTTAGGTTTTAATGCATATATTAATTTTGTTCTTTTGGGGAATAATCCATCAGTTTAGAATTACTAAGACTGTTCTGGACTTAGTAATTCTAAGTCAAAAAAGTGTCTGGTTCTGCTTCTAGTAATTAGAAGCAGACATTGCATGCTTGTCTGTTTCTAAGGCTGTTTTGATACAAAAACATAGGGGGGAAAGCAGTTTTCTTGAACAGAATTATCCGATTTAAATTGGACCAATAGAGATGAAAGATTGCAGCAAAAAAAAAAAAAATCCCTTTCGTTTATTGCCAAACACCTTTGTTACAGTGCTTACACTTTGCACACCACAAGGGTTGTATTGACCTGTCCTGCAGATAAGCAAATAAAAATGTAGTCACAATGACTTTTGCTTCCTTTTTCTTCCTTTCTACTCTTGGGTTCTGTTGCCGCCCACTGGTGGAAGGGCGTCCCGGGCAGAGAGCCATATTTCCCAGTAATCAAAACCCACCACTTGAGAAACAACTCTGTTTATTCACAGTTTGACAAATTTGCTAAAAATAAATTAGCACTGTGGCATCTGTGTCTAATGTTTCTCAAATTAAATCTTCAGATCAGAGGCGTTCACTATTGAATGTGACATTTTTGGAAAAACAAACAGATACAGATTTCACAAATTTATATCAAACCCAAGTTCTGCTTTATACATAAGTAATATGAAATGACTATGCGGTTGTCAAACAAAACCAAACTGATGTATGGCTCATGTAAGATGTTTATATGCTCACTAGTTAGCCCCACAACAGGTTGCCCAGCATGACTGATGTAAATGAGTTTTGTTGCTTGTGGACTCTTAACTGGAAGTGGATCCCCTCATCAAATTCTCCTTAGAGCCCCGTAAAACTTTGGGCTGGCTCCGATTCTGTGTTTGTCTCAAACGTGATCAAAAATGTTTATCATGAATGGTTTTAAATGAAATGCACGTGTAAAATCGAATGCTTTTTTTTGCATTCGCCCTCCTGCTGTAAATTTCTCCTTTCTTGTGTGCAGACACACTCAAAACTCACATGCAGCAGTCGTTTCAAAGCTGGCTCCCCTGCTGGCCCGCTGTGGTTTCTGAATGAACACAGGCTTTCCGATGTACCTCTGGGCCCGTGGCCAGCAGGGAGGGATCACACAGACATGCACGCTGTCATCCAAGGATTACCATCGTCTTCAGGATAACTCCGCTTCCCCGACAGGCTGCACCGTGTTATAACCTGTGATTGCACTCAGAGGGCTTTAATATGCTAGGAGAGATTTCCCAGGGGTTTAGTATCTGTGATAAAACTCGACCCACAGGCTGGCAGAAGCTGCTCTCAGGTCAGCTGGGTTTCACAGGTGGTCTTGTTTTTTTTTGTTTTTTCTTTAATCCTGTGCAGTATGTAGTGATCTGTGTGAGAGGTGTTTGTCTCTCCTGCCTGGTCATCTCAGAGTCAGAGAAGGTGTGGACAGGGCTGGTCCAAACTTTTATGAGGTCCTAAACAGGGTTACAGTAGAGGGGGCACCTTTAGTTGAGAGCATTTCCTGTGTATCCATGTTGGATGGTTTTTTTGTGTGTGTGTGCATTCTTTATTCTACATCATTTGCCAAATTTGATATTGTGTTAAAAGTATATTTATAAAAATAAAAAAATAAAATTGGTTTTAATTTAATACTTTGCATGTTTAACTCTCAAAAGTTTTCCTTGCTATTTGTAAAATGATTATGAGCTATCACTGAAAAAACGAAAAAGTTTATAAAACAAAAAAAAGATAAAGAACACAAATAACTACAAAAACAGAACAAAGTAAAGCGTTTGAACATTTTATTGAAGAAAATTACCTGCAAAATGAAATTCAAAACTAGATTTTGTCACTAAAAACATGAAGTTGCTGACAATTTTCAACTGAAGAGCATAAACAACACAGAAAAGCAGCACAAATGGAAATTCACACACACAAAATGTAAAACAGGCATTGCGAAACGCTTAAGAAGAACAAACTAGGTGTATCTTCATTCATTTTGTAAAATGTTCTAATTTATATATATTTGTTTCCTAGTAGTAATTTATTACTATTATTTGTATCCCTTTTTGCTATATTTTTTTTTCTTTAAAACAATTTCATCCTGAATTTTTTTTTTTTTGGCACAGCAAGCCTTCCGTACCTCCTATTTAACCTACCACCTACCACGACAGAGAAACATCCTCAACTAAAACACGCTTTTCTTCTCCCACTGCTTCTCAACACACATCAGTAACTCTTCTGCAGTCTGCTCTTCACTTGATCTCACTTGACGACTTCCTGCTCTTGAGTTTTAGCGTCTAAAAGCTGCTCTTCCTCACCTCTTTTTCCCCTCCCGTCCTCCTTATCCAATGCTAAATGACAAGCCTCCACAGATTCCCACTGCTGTCTGCGCTGATTTAAAGGCTAATGTTCTGCTCCGAAGCCGGTTCGGCTCTCTGAGACACGACGCAGCTGACGCTCGCTGAGCTTAGTCCCGTCCCTCCTCGAGTCTGCGGATAAAGATGACCTGTGGCTTCTCAGGAATGAAGCCATTTTTCTCTCCACTGAACTTTTTCCAAATTTTCCCAGACAGATTGTGCAGAAGGAAATGTCATGTTTAACATGCCGTGATCAAAATTTTTTTTTTTGTCTTTTTACACAGGTAGCTGGGGCCGTCGCAGACATCCTCCATCATCCTCCTCTTCCCTCCAAGAAAGAGTGTGAGAGCTCCGGCGAGGGAAACGTGGGAAAGAGGAAGACGATGTACCAAGAGCTGCTCCTCTCCTCCGCCCTCCTCTTCCTCCATGTGATGGGCACTCCCCAGTTCTTCGGGCATCATGGGTAACGGCACTCGTAACTCTCTGTCTGCGTTTATCGTGGCCGGTCACTTGGGATGTTCCCAAATGACAAACATTCAGGAGGTCAGTCTCCCAGGGGCCAAAGCTCAGGCGATTAGGAAGAGAATAGTTTTGCTGTCATTTTTAGAGCTGATTTGGGTGGGGGTGGACAAAAATAAACTAAACGAAGGTTTGAGCGCAGACAGGCAGGTCAAAGGTCAGCTTTTAACCAGGGCACAATCAGGAGTGATTGTACAAGTCAGGGTTTTAAATAGGCACTGGTACTGATATCGAGGTAAGAAAACATGTCAAAAGTATCGATTTTAAGCCCGTATGAGATGCCTGAGGAAGTGTTTTTCCTACTGTCGTACAGCGCTCACCTGTCGCTGCACACTGCCACTAAGCTGGCTGAAGAGAAAGGTAAAGCAGACAAGAAAGTTTGCTTTAACGTGTCATTTCTTTTTTCTGTTTTCCAGAAGGAGGGCGTGCAGCAGCGACCTCCGACACAATGTCATCCTGGCAACAGAGTCCTACGCCCAGCCGGTGCACAAGCCCTACATCACCCTGTGTCAAGGCCATCGCCTCTGCAGCACATACAAGTAAGACGCTCACACTTTTTTTTTCTTAGTACTCACACAAAGCTTGAAAATGGCAGTGGGATGGCCAACATTTTTCAAGAGGGGGCCATGACCCCTGCTGGTCCAACTTTAGGGCCACCACTGTAAAAATTTAAAAATGTAAAAAAAAAAAAAAAAATCTCTACACAGTCACAGCGCTATCAAAACAGACTTTTAATCAAGGCATCTGCACACGTAAATAACATCTGACATGGCTAAGTATGGAGATGGAGCAACACATCTTCACTTTCCTTCACAAAAGGACACCCATGCTCACAAACCGTAAATGCACACAGCAGTGGGTCACGATGGCACATAGTTTTGAGTGGAATCTAAATATCGAGCACTTTGTGTAACGACAGGAAATGAGCTGCCTGCCCGCAGAGACCAGTGCTTTGTTTGTCTTGGACTCCATGCTAGCACACTCCCAGTTGCTCTCCTAGCCCTTTACCTTCTCCACATTTTTTTTAATCCCTGTTAGCTTTTCTCTCACCAAAGCTCACTTTCGCTTTTGGTCTGTTTTCTTGGATCCTCATGCAAACATGTCTCCAGTCTCTAGTTTTAGCCTCAATTTATTGCTCTTAATTCCCCCCCTTGCTCAGGCAAGCTAAACACACCGCATTCTCACCCGGCTGAAGCCAAAATAGCTGATTATAGATCTGACTTCACATCAGTGCTAGCCTCTTCTCTTCTGAATCCGTGGCTTGACTGTTCCACCAAGTTACTAACACTCATCTATGGTCACGCAGTCTCATCACAGAGAAAGCTCTGCTGTACCTCAAACGATCCATAACCTCTGTGGTTTCGCTTGTCTTCACAGAACAACGTACTCGTTAGCTTACCGCCAGGTAAGCAGGATAGAGTCGGCCTCACATTTCTACCCAGACTGCTGCCCCGGTTGGCGGAGATTTCACTCACACAACTGCAACCAAGGTAAAAGATAGTTTTAAAATAATTTTAATGGTTGAACTGTGCTGCCATCTTTATTTGACCTAACTCCAGATTAGCTAGTCTTGAAGGAAAGCTGACAAGTAGTCTGAAACGGGCCAAGACAGCAGGGACTTTTAACAACTTCTATTTCAAAAAGAAAATATTACCAAAACTATACATATTGTTAGATTTGCATTGGAGGTTATTTACCAACAACCTGATGAGTGTTTACACAGGAAATAGAGAACGGAGGCGGTGCACCATCAAACATCTTCCTGTGTGAAACCACTTCTGATAATTGGACATTTAAATAGGTTCTGGTCAGTACATATATCTGTATATTAGCTTGTGCGGAAGTGCTAAGACGGTTTCCACTCTGTATTAATGCATATTAAAGTATGTTTGTTGTGTGAACAAATATATCTGTTGTGCAGATGTTAGCTCTTCTCAGGCAGCTGTGGTCTCCAACATCAGAACACACTGCTGGTTCACTGCAGTAAAATACTATTTTAGATTTAGATTTTTATATATTTTCATTATTATTATTATTATTATTATTTTCTATTATGCGGTGGCTTTAATCAGAAACATGTGTTTTCTAGACGTGTTTCACACAGGAAGATAATTGGTGGTGCACCGTCTCTATTCTACCAAATGAAAACAATCTTTTTTGTGTAAATACAGTGTATGATGCAAACATGAGGACGGTTTAATGGTTCACAAAATAGTATTCACAAAAAATAAAGATTCCAATATTATAATAAATATAATAGGGTTTAATTTGCTGTGCAGAACTCTGAGATTTTTTTTGTCTTGATTCACAGTTTGCTGAAAGAAAACAAAAAACGTAAACAGGTCCGCATTAGATTTCTCTACTTTAACCTGCCATTTTCATGCGATGCCACATTTTGTGTCCCTCTGGCTGATCCAGTTTTATGCCAACCAATTTGGCTCATATCAGAAAGAAAACACGTTCACTTCACCACAATATGGTTTGCCGAGTCGATTTAAAGTAATAATCATGAATCAGTTGTGTGTTTTTTGTTTTTTTTTTAATGAATGTTTTCGGATGTGTTCCAAAGCTCTGTGTGCAGAACCCTGTGCTAATGGCGGCACCTGTTTGAAACCCAATAAGTGCGCGTGCCCTCCCGGCTGGACCGGACACCGGTGCCAAACAGGTGCGCAGAAATCACATTCAGATTCACCTGGGGAGCTGTACGTAAATTCATATGCATACTCACGACTTGCTTTCTTTCTTTCCTTCTTTTTTTTTTCTCTTTTTACCCCTTTTTTTCGGCTGTCAGATGTGGACGAGTGCGGCGGGCGGCAGCCGTGCGCCCAGCTGTGCATGAACACAGCTGGAAGCTACAGATGCGCCTGCAGAGACGGCTTCACGCTCGCCGGAGACGGACGGTCCTGTCGCCAGCTTCCACCTCCGCCGCCGTCTCCGTCTCCGACACCCACCCAGGGCAGCCGGGCAGCAGTGGGTGGCCACGCCGACGCGGGTAAATGAGCGCCGCGAACTGCATATTTCCATGTTCTGCAGCGGGACAGAGGAAGAAAACATGACCAGCTTCGCGGTCCATTATTACTTTTGGTACGCGCTATGCCACTCTCAACTCGTACCGTGAGTAATAATGCACTGCGACTGGTGCCGACTCCAGACTGATGTTATGCGCTGCTGGCTCCATGCGGTGAGACTGGGATCGTTTGGACTTTGATAATGACTGCTTGCCCCGTCGCTGAAGTAAACATCTGCATTTAATCCGGCTCCCGAGCTAATACACACATGTTTTCACCCTACACACTCCATTAGTTCCCTCAGAAATGTTAGACTTTTGTCTCTTGGAAAAAAAGCCTTTTGAGTGTTTGTGCACTCTTCTCGTTGTCTTTGGTTCCTCACGTTAATTTTGCAAACTGAAGTGTGTTTTGTTGGGGTTTTATGTGACAGAACGACACAGAGTGGAGCATAATTATGTTGTGGAAAGAAAATTGTGTGTGGTTTTCAAAAATCTTTACCAAAAAAAAAAAAACTAAAATATACTGTCATTTTTTTTTTTTTGTCAGTCAGAATCACCTTTAGTTGCAGTTACAGCTGCAAGTCTTCTTCTCTTAAGATCAGTTTGGTTAAAGTCTGGACTTTGACTGGACCAGTCTAACACATGAATATACTTCAGTCTTAACCAAGGTGACTTCTAACGACAATGGAAAGGTGCAGCAGTTTTATTAGGGGTATTTAGGAAGACTTTAGAAAGAACTTACACGGGCCCCAAATATTTATCTATTTTTTTTAACTAATGCATGTTTTGAAAATGTGCTTTGCTTAAAACTCATTGGCCCGAATCAGGTAAGCTGTATTAATATTTTTGGATTTTTCTAAACATAAACACTAGTCAAGTATTTGAAAATTATTAAATTATTGTACATTGTTTTAAAAACAAAGTGGAGTATAAAGATCTACTTATAAACGTGCCATGACTTGCATCAGTGAAAATAATTGTTGATTTTGAATGGGGCACCAAACCTGGCTCAACCCAGAGGCCCCCATCCTTCTAAATCCGGCCCTGGGTATTTGAGTCAAGGGGATTTATTGTCACACTTTAAAAGACAAACCATTTTTGGAAACAAAAATTGGGAAACACTTCCACGTCACAGCTGTGCTCCGGTTTGTGTTGGTGGCTCGCATTAAAATCTCAGTATAACACATGTAAGTTTGAGTGTTTTTTATCGTGACAAAATGTGAAAAAGATCCAAGTTTTCTGCTAGGCAATGTGGCCTCAAAACAATACACAACCGCCTCCACCTCTGACTCTGCTTTATGTCTCCAAATGCTCTTGACCCCAAGATTTTCCTTTTAAGTCCCATTCCGAGTCCGCCTTATTGCTCTTTTGGGAAATTGTGCAACAACAACAAATAAAAAAAAAATAAAATTGAAGTAGATGTAGTTCTTTCCTGATTTCTTCAACTCTTTCCAAACTGGGGGATTTTTTTCTTTTTTTTTGGCGAGTCACCTAACTGTGAAATCAAAAGGGGGAGATTTGGACGGACAGTGGGGAGAGGGGAGGGGGAGGTGAACGCTGTCTCCAGCTCTCAGAGTGAAAGAAATATCTGTGCATAAACGAGAGATTGCCAAATCTCCCAGGCCTTCCTCCTCCTCCTCTTCCTCTTCCTCCAAACTCCCCTCCATCTATCAGAGTTTCTTCTGGAAACTGACCACAAGCTCCGAAGGTTCACCTCCACGGCGACGTGATGGATCGGCTGAGTCGGCGAGAAACGCACAGAAGAGCAGAAAACACGACAGAGGATTTAGGGATTTTCTTTCTATTTCTTTTTTTCTTTTGCTAGAGTGTGCCTGCAGACGGGCTTCTTGCGAGCCGTTTCGCTCGAGAGACGTCTTTCTCTGCTCATATACACACATCGGAGGGATGTTGATGGAGATCATGAGTGTAAACAGAGAGAGCCGACTCTCGCTCTGCCAAGATCCATTGGATTGCATTTAGGCTTTTCAGCCTCCCGCCTTTTTTCTTTTTTTTTTTTTTTTTTTCCTTCCACTCTGTTCTTGGCCGGGGCTTGTGTTCTCATTCCAGCTCCATCAACTCTGTCTGCTGGGGGTCACGCACCCCAGTTTGTCCCCCCACAGCCCCCCTCGTCCACCGATCTTTTCCCTTTTGCGCCTCCTCCTTAGCTTATTCCACTCCAGTGTGGACCACATCTGGGAGAGATTGAACATCTCTCCGTCTGTCTGCAGAGGTGCAACCAGAGAAGTGGAAGGAGAGGCCGGGTGAGGGTGGAGGGGGGGTAAATTGGAGGGCGGTTGTTCCTAAATCTGCATCCTGGTCAGAGTCCCCGTCTCTAGAAGGAACATTCCCCCTTTCGAGGGGCTCTGAGCCAGACGCTACCGATTCACAGAAGGGTTTGCTCATCTATTTCTGGTCGCATCGCAGCATTTTGACCCCCTGGCTGTTCCCATGGCTTCACTGCCTTGCAAAAAAAAAAAAAAAAAAAAAAGCATCTGAATGGCTTGAACTTTTTCACTTCTTGGTCACAGAAAGTTGTGAATAATTGTGAAGTTGAAGGGGAGAGAAAAAAAAGTGATTTTAAATGATCATTTTAAATAAAAATGTCACCTTTGAATTGAACCCTATTTACTCTGAAATCACTAAGTGCAGCCCAGTGCAACAAATGACCTTCAGAAGTCGCTTTATTAGTGGAAAAAAGTCTGTAATTTAAATTCAACATAAAGTTGTTCTATGAAGGAGTCTGTAGTTTGTTAGAAATTAGTATATAAAAAAAGTTTGCTTGTTTTTTTTTTAGTAATTTTATTTTCTATTTGTGGCCCTCGGAAAGATTTAGTATAATCCAAGAACAGTACAGATTTAATAATTTTCTTTTACTTTTGTTTTTTCGGAGTTGATTCTCCCAAACAAGAGAAGTTCTTCTCAAACTGGAAAATATAACTCCTAAGTGTTTGACTTTTATTAACCACATGTTTGGCTTGCATAAGCAAGCAGCAAATGTATTGTTATCAATAAAAGATAAATAAAAGAAAACACTTTTGTGACCCAAAAGTGCTTTAAACTTGAAACTTTGGATGGAAGCCTGTAGGTGTCAGAATAGCCTAAGTGACCCAAAAACCAATGGAGAATCTCTGGCAGCACCAAAAATGACAGCCAGAAAATTCAGTCGATAAATATCCAGGTGAAATAAAAATGTACAGATTTTAGATTTTAATTTGACACATAAAATCCTAACAAAACACGCTGACATTTGCTATTGATTTCTTTGACCTATATTCACACAATTTGCTTGCAGCTTCACAGTCCAGACGCTGGGTTTTTATTATTATTATTATTATTATTATTATTATTATTATTATTATTCTAAATTTTGGTTTTTAAGTGCTTCAGTCACTCGTTACCCGCTGCTAATGCGCAGTCGCCTACAAATCGTGACGTGTGTCTGTTTGTCTGCGTGTCTCCTTCCAGGAGGAAGCCTGGGCCTGGTGGAGAACGTCACAGAGGAGGTCCAGAGCCTGAGGACCAGAGTGGAGCTGCT